CCGTACCCAGAGCTTGTTGGCTGCCTCATGTACCTGATGACCTGCACACGACCTGACCTTGCATACCCTCTCAGCATTCTGGCACGCTATGTTGCTCCTGGGAGACACCTCCCTGAGCACATGGCTGCAGCGAAGAGGGTGTTGCGCTACTTGTGCAGTACGTCGGGCATGGGGCTCGTGCTTGGAGGGCAGAGTCCAGTGGTCCTCACTGGTCACGTAGATGCTTCTTGGGCTGACGACTTGGCTACGCAGCGGTTGTCACAGGGTTACACCTTCAGGCTTGGTTCCGGCTCTGTTTCGTGGCGGTCTACCCGCTCGTCTTCTGTTCTCGGCTCCAGCTGTGAGGCTGAGATCTACGCAGGGGCCATGGCTGTACAGGAGTTACGCTGGCTCACCTACCTGCTGACTGACCTAGGAGAGCTGCCTCGTTCTCCTCCAGTTGTGTACGTAGACAACAAGGCGATGCTGGCCTTGTGTCGGGAGCACAGACTGGAGCACAGAACGAAGCACATTGCTCTTCGCTACTTCCTTGCTCGTGAGCTGCAGCAGCGTGGTCAGCTGCGACTTGCTTACGTGGCCTCTCGGGCCAACACTGCTGATATCTTTACCAAGGCACTTCAGCCTTGTGATCATCAGCGCTTTTGTACGATGCTAGGTCTTGTGCCTACTTGGCCTCACTTGCTCACTTCTTGACCTTGCTTGTACTGTGATCTATTTATACCTGCACTTGCTTGTTTACCTTTATGTATATAATCCTGCATGTGAACTGGCCTTGTGGCCTTGAACTGGTGCTCGGAATGTGTGGTGACTTTGTGATCCACCCTGAGCTTGCTTTGCTTGACTGGTCTTGTGACCCCTAGTTCTCCCCCACTTTGCCTATGGTGGTGTGTCAGATATATATGACATAGTGCTTGTAGGCTCTAGTGGGGTAGACACTAAGGGGTACAGGTTTCTAGGGTTTCACATTTGTATCATACATTTTCTTAGTTCATTCATTCCTCGTTATTTCACAGAGTTACGATGCACACCGAGAATATGGGATACGCCCTACCTCACATGCATCATTGGTACTTGTACAGGCGTGGAACGGGGTGGAGGGCATCGACACAAAGGTTGCAGGTGACGATCAAGGTAATGATTCTCCTGTGTGTGGACTATATCATTTGACCCACCCCGCCCCCTTTTTATCTCCCCTTTTGCTACTCGACTTCTCGTGCCCTTTTGCTATTCATTTTCAGTGCTACCCATTCCCATTCCCATAATTCCATCATAATCTACCCGACTCCATTGTTTGTTCGCCCTTCAATCTCCCACTTACTGTTTTGCAAACATGCCTCATCTCATTTATTGTAACCCCTGCTACTATGCCCTGATGCATGCCCTCCTCTTTTTTCCGTTCTTCCCACACCTCTGTGAGCAGGTCAACAAGCGAGGGCACTGTCAGAGGTGTTGCCCATCAGTGCAAGTGGAGCCACACCCTTGACCTCCAGGGTTGGCGAGGGTGTCAACTTGGAGCCAGCCGCGACAGTGGGGAGTCATAGGAGGTGGGGACGGCGTGCTCCACGATCACGATTACGGCAAGACGAGGGTGGCGGGAGCAATGGTGCTGGTGAGGTACAGGCGAGAGGGAAGGGGGTTAGCGTTGTCGACAGGCTTGCCGTGCACTTTTATCATTGCATGATGCGCAGCGGGGTGATGGCTAAAGAGGGGCACACACGGTCGTGTGAGGATGTGTTAGCTGAGTTATGCCTTGCAGCAGACCACTTTGCAGGAGATCATTCTCGATGCGACAGAGGCGGGTCATGTGCACCGAGGTGTGTGACGGAGAATTGGGGTGCGGATTCTGCTGTATATTTGCCAAACTCTCCGACACATCTAGCTGTTCGCGCGTGGATGGCGAAACACTTCAGTCCATCCAAGGTTGCCTGCATTATCGAGGGCGCAACCACCTCAATGAATGAGTCATTTCATTCGCTCATAATCAAATACGCACCAACATGCATCCGATTCAACGTGAGTTATGAGCCACGAGTTGCCATGGCTGCTCTCCATTGGAACCACACTATGGATCGTATTGCGTGCATATATCATCCGTGCGCGGCGAACTACACGAATAAGACGTGGTCAATGGGATCGAGTGCTAGGTCCAATGGACTGGAGTTGGGTTGACAGCATCTTGAGAGAGTGGAGGCGTCCTTGGACGGAATCTCCTGAACCTGGTGAGGAGTCTGCTAACATGGGGGGTACTGTAGCGATTCGGGAGATGGACGAGGCTGCACCAGCAATAGGCCATCTTGTTGTGGCCGAGGCATCCGCTGGTCCTTCCCTCGGTTCTGGACTTTCACAGCTACGAACACCAACAAGAGCACAACCTACGCCCAACACAACAAGCACCAACATTCTCGGTCCACACCGCAACTTATTCGGTGAGCATCATATGTGCGGGTCAAATGTGTACGAGTCATTTCCATTACCAGCCTTGCACATCTTTTGTGACAAACGAGCAATGCTCATTACTGTGTGCCTCGTTTCCATCTATCACATACGCATTATAATACACAAGGTGACTTGACCAACACACGCTGAGGTTCCAAAGGCAACCGCGGATGATTACAAGATTCACACCCATTGTTCTAGTACGTGGTACTAACGGGCTTTTACCCCGCCGCCCTCCCCTACGCTTATGTCCACCCCTCGACCTGTGCTTATCTCTTACCCTGCTATCTCCCTCCCCCGTGCACACTGTCTTCCCCCTAGCTCTCTCTCCCCGGCTCACTCTCTTGTGCCTGCACTTGTGTTTCGGCTTGCAGCCCTGCTCACAACATCCTCTCATATTCTCCCCAGCCTTCCCTACTCTCAACTCCACCTTTCACTCACGTTACCACTAGCCCTCCTGCTTTATTTTTTGGAAACTTCCATTTCCAATACCGTATTCCCGCAGCCTTCCAATCTTGTGTCATAAAACCGCCCCTCCCACATATGGTTCCAATGTTCTTTTGCCAACCCCTCTTATCAACTGCAGTGATAGGCTTGTATGACCAAGCCCTTCATGTTTATTGACCGTGTACGGGTTCCGCAAATACAGACAGAACGGCTTGGTCATACAATTCCTCATTCGTCTTCGCATTGCGCATACTTTCGGTACGTGGCACTAACTCTTTCTTCCCTCAGTCACTCTTGAGCATTACCCTAAACCAACGTCCATCCTCAGTCTCCACCCTGCTCACTCTCTTCCCCTATGCTTGCTCTTCTTCCAACAACACCCTCTCCAATATGCTTGCTCTAAACCCTCCTCCTATCTCTCTTCCCGCCTCGGTGCTCTGTATCCCCCTCCCATCACCCTAAACCCTAAACTTGCTCTGTTTCCTCCTAATACATGCAATTTCCCCTTCTCACTGCGCACCCCCCAATGCTCTACTCTCATTCCCTGCAGCCCTACTCACAAAATTCCCCCAAGCTCACTATCTTACCCCTATTCGCTCTCTTTATCCCTGCGCTCTCCCACCCCCCTTTCTCACTCTCTGCCCACCCTCCTCACTCTATTCCCCCCAGCCCACTCTCTCCCACTTGTTCACCTCTTTTACCGTCATACCCCGGATAGAAGCGCTCCTGGGGTTGTAATAAAACACTGTTTTTTAGGGGGTGCACTTATAAATGAGGAAATTTATAAGCGCCGGCGTTTATATAACGGCAAAATGAAATTAAGTTTTTTTTTAACACCACACTGTAGATCTCGTTCTGCCAAGTGTAATCGAGTCGAAAATATATGGGGTCGCGAATCTGACTCTCGAGCAACTTGGCAGGGATTGATTCCCTGCCAACACATGCTGACTAAGCGACAGCGCGTGCTGACTAGACGCGCAGCAAGTGTGATGTGAGTGGGAAAGTGGAACTGTACTTCGCTTCCCTGGTAAGGTGAATTTCGTTTCTGTATTTCGACTGATTTTCAGATAAAATTCGACATGCGCTTATAATAAATCACAAATTTTTAGGGGGTGCGCTTATAATCGAGGACCGGATATAAGCGCCCTCATCCCTTTATAAGCGCCGGCGCTTATCTGAGGCCTGCGCTTCTATCCGGGGGCTTATGGTACCACTGAGTTATGTTTCTCCCCTGAAACCCTGCTTCTCCTCTCCCCCCACTTCATTCTTCCCCAGTTTCCCATCTTGGTCCTTCAGGTCTCATGCACTATATCGCCTGCTTCCATTCACTAAAATCCCGTAGTCCCACATGTGGTGTCGTGCAATATTCCCTTCCCCCGTTTTGACCACCTTGTTTTCCGTTTTGCCCACCACTCATTTTCCACCGCAGTTACATGCTTGTATGACCAAGCCATTTACTATGTCTATTGACTTAGTGCGGGCACTATCAGTACAGACCAAATGGCTTGGTCATTCAATTCCTCCTCGTGTTTGCCGTCCGCGAGGTGTGGGGATCCGCGTCACTATGTAATTCTCCCATACATTTCTTTCTCATAAGTTTGTCCATGATCTAGTGGTTTCAACCTAGAAATACTCATGAATAAGATGTTTTGTACATTATTCCAATGAAGATTAGTGCGGCAATGCTTCTGTTCATTATGTTTTGTGCCATCATTACTCGTTTTTCACCATTCAATCTTACAACCCAACGCCTTCGGCATATTCGTGAAACCCAATGAGTTCCATCAAGCTTTATTGCGAGAGGGACAATACACAAGCCAAGAGGGTCATCACGTCAGTGCATCCATGAGGGAACCTGCTAGTATCATATAACGATGGTCCACGAACTGATGTCTTGAGCTTGAGTCGTTGAACAGCCACCTGGTGGTGAATGAGATGAGACTGAAAGAGGGAAACAAAGGATATGAGAAGGGGGAGGCGGGGTGTGTGCAAAGCGGATCACAGCACAGCACCGCAGAGCCGCAGAGCAGAGCAGCGCAGAGCACAGCCCCACACAACAGAGCCGGACAGCGATTTGCCTCACCTTGTGCCCATCCGTCTGCAGCCACACCCGCTCGCTACAGCAGCAGCTGTAGCGGGCTATTCTGGATGCAGCTGCAGAATGGGGTGTGGGGGCGGGAAGGCGGGAAACAAGGGGAAGGGTTTGGGGGAAAATAGGATCGAGGGTATGGGGGAGACAAGCGGGAGGCAGAGATGGGGTGGGGGAAAGATGGGGTGGGGCGGATATGGGAGGCGCGGAATGGGGGGATTTTGAGATGGGGTGGGCCGGGTATGGTGGAAAGCGGAGTGGGGTGGGGCGGAGATGTTGCCTCCCAGGGCGTGGCGGCGCCCTCGACAACGAGCCCGTGGCGAGTCGCACCCAACACTCCTATGCTCCGCGTCCACCCCGTCCCTGGAGGCACGGAGATGGGATGGGGTTGACGGGGGAGAGGCGGGAATAGCGACCCCGGAGGGGGACAGAGGGGAGGAGGGGTGAGGAGGAGATGATGTGTGGAGGAGATGGGGTGAGGAGGAGATGGGGTGTGGAGGAGGAGGGGTGAGGAGGAGATGGGGTGAGGAGGAGATGGGGTGTGGAGGAGGACGGGTGAGGAGGAGATGGGGTGTGGAGGAGGAGGGGTGAGGAGGAGATGGGGTGTGGAGGAGATGGGGTGTGGAGGAGATGGGGTGTGGAGGAGATGGGGTGAGGAGGAGATAAGGTGTGGAGGAGGAGGGGTGAGGAGGATATGATGTGTGGAGGAGATAGGGTGTGGAGGAGATGGGGTGTGGAGGAGATGGGGTGTGACGGAAATGGGGTGAGGAGGAGGAGGGGTGAGGAGGAGATGGGGTGTGGAGGAGATGGGGTGTGGAGGAGGAGGGGTGAGGAGGAGATGGGGTGTGGAGGAGATGGGGTGAGGAGGAGATGGGGCGTGGAGGAGGAGGGGTGAGGAGGAGATGCGGTGTGGAGGAGATGGGGTGTGGAGGAGATGGGGTGAGGAGGAGATGGGGTGTGGAGGAGGAGGGGTGAGGAGGAGATGATGTGTGGAGGAGATGGGGTGTGGAGGAGATGGGGTGTGGAGGAGGAGGGGTGAGCAGGAGATGATGTGTGGAGGAGATGGGGTGTGGAGGAGATGGGGTGTGGAGGAGATGATGTGTGGAGGATATGGGGTGTGGAGGAGATGGGGTGTGACGGAAATGGGGTGAGGAGGAGGAGGGGTGAGGAGGAGATGGGGTGTGGAGGAGGAGGGGTGAGGAGGAGATGGGGTGAGGAGGAGATGGGGTGTGGAGGAGATAGGGTGAGGAGGAGATGGGGTGAGGAGGAGATGGGGTGTGGAGGAGGAGGGGTGAGGAGGAGATGGGGTGTGGAGGAGATGGGGTGTGGAGGAGATGGGGTGAGGAGGAGATAAGGTGTGGAGGAGGAGGGGTGAGGAGGATATGATGTGTGGAGGAGATGGGGTGTGGAGGATATGATGTGTGGAGGAGATGGGGTGTGACGGAAATGGGGTGAGGAGGAGGAGGGGTGAGGAGTAGATGGGGTGTGGAGGAGATGGGGTGAGGCAGAGATGGGGTGAGGAGGAGATGGGGTGAGGAGGAGATGGGGTGTGGAGGAGATGGGGTGAGGAGGAGATGGGGTGAGGAGGAGATGGGGTGTGGAGGAGATGGGGTGTGGAGGAGGAGGGGTGAGGAGGAGATGGGGTGTGAAGGAGATGGGGTGAGGAGGAGATGGGGTGAGGAGGAGATGGAGCGTGGAGGAGGAGGGGTGAGGAGGAGATGATGTGTGGAGGAGATGGGGTGTGGAGGAGATGGGGTGTGGAGGAGATGGGGTGTGACGGAAATGGGGTGAGGAGGAGATGGGGTGAGGCAGAGATGGGGTGTGGAGGAGATGGGGTGTGGAGGAGATGGGGTGAGGAGGAGATGGGGTGTGGAGGAGGAGGGGTGAGGAGGAGATGATGTGTGGAGGAGATGGGGTGTGGAGGAGATGGGGTGTGGAGGAGATGGGGTGTGACGGAAATGGGGTGAGGAGGAGATGGGGTGAGGCAGAGATGGGGTGTGGAGGAGATGGGGTGTGGAGGAGATGGGGTGAGGAGGAGATGGGGTGTGGAGGAGGAGGGGTGAGGAGGAGATGATGTGTGGAGGAGATGGGGTGTGGAGGAGATGGGGTGTGGAGGAGATAGGGTGAGGAGGAGATGGGGTGAGGAGGAGATTGGGTGTGGAGGAGATGGGGTGAGGAGGAGATGGGGTGTGGAGGAGGAGGGGTGGGGAGGAGATGGGGTGTGGAGGAGATGGGGTGTGGAGGAGATGGGGTGAGGAGGAGATGGGGTGTGGAGGAGGAGGGGTGAGGAGGAGATGATGTGTGGAGGAGATGGGGTGTGGAGGAGATGGGGTGTGGAGGAGATGGGGTGTGACGGAAATGGGGTGAGGAGGAGATGGGGTGAGGCAGAGATGGGGTGTGGAGGAGATGGGGTGTGGAGGAGATGGGGTGAGGAGGAGATGGGGTGTGGAGGAGGAGGGGTGAGGAGGAGATGATGTGTGGAGGAGATGGGGTGTGGAGGAGATGGGGTGTGGAGGAGATAGGGTGAGGAGGAGATGGGGTGAGGAGGAGATTGGGTGTGGAGGAGATGGGGTGAGGAGGAGATGGGGTGTGGAGGAGGAGGGGTGAGGAGGAGATGGGGTGTGGAGGAGATGGGGTGAGGAGGAGATAAGGTGTGGAGGAGGAGGGGTGAGGAGGATATGATGTGTGGAGGAGATGGGGAGTGGAGGATATGATGTGTGGAGGAGATGGGGTGTGACGGAAATGGGGTGAGGAGTAGATGGGGTGTGGAGGAGATGGGGTGAGGAGATGGGGTGAGGAGGAGGTGGGGTGTGGAGGAGACGGGGTGAGTAGGAGATGGGGTGAGGAGGAGATGGGGTGTGGAGGAGATGGGGTGAGGAGGAGATGGGGTGTGGAGGAGATGGGGTGTGGAGGAGGAGGGGTGAGGAGGAGATGGGGTGTGGAGGAGGAGGGGTGAGGAGGAGATGATGTGTGGAGGAGATGGGGTTTGGAGGAGATGGGGTGTGGAGGAGATGATGTGTGGAGGATATGGGGTGTGGAGGAGATGGGGTGTGACGGAAATGGGGTGAGGAGGAGGAGGGGTGATGAGGAGATGGGGTGTGCAGGAGGAGGGGTGAGGAGGAGATGGGGTGTGGAGGAGATGGGGTGAGGAGGAGATGGGGTGTGGAAGAGATGGGGTGAGGAGGAGATGGGGTGTGGAGGAGATGGGGTGTGGAGGAGATGGGGTGAGGAGGAGATGGGGTGTGGAGGAGGAGGGGTGAGGAGGATATGATGTGTGGAGGAGAAAGGGTGAGGAGGAGATGGGGTGTGGAGGAGATGGGGTGAGGAGGAGATGGGGTGTGGAGGAGGAGGGGTGAGGAGGATATGATGTGTGGAGTAGATGGGGTGTGGAGGAGATGGGGTGAGGCAGAGATGGGGTGAGGAGGAGATGGGGTGAGGAGGAGATGGGGTGTGGAGGAGATGGGGTGAGGAGGAGATGGGGTGTGGAGGAGATGGGGTGTGGAGGAGGAGGGGTGAGGAGGAGATGGGGCGTGGAGGAGATGGGGTAAGGAGGAGATGGGGTGTGGAGGAGGAGGGGTGAGGAGGAGATGGGGTGTGGAGGAGATGGGGTGTGGAGGAGATGGGGTGAGGAGGAGATGGGGTGTGGAGGAGGAGGTGTGAGGATGAGATGGGGTGTGGAGGAGATGGGGTGAGGAGGAGATGGGGTGTGGAGGAGGAGGGGTGAGGAGGAGATGATGTGTGGAGGACATGGGGTGTGGAGGAGATGGGGTGTGACGGAAATGGGGTGAGGAGGAGGAGGGGTGAGGAGGAGATGGTGTGAGGATGAGATGGTGTGAGGAGGAGATGGGGTGAGGAGGAGATGGGGTGAGGAGGAGATGGGGTGTGGAGGAGATGGGGTGTGACGGAAATGGGGTGAGGAGGAGATGGGGTGAGGCAGAGATGGGGTGTGGAGGAGATGGGGTGTGGAGGAGATGGGGTGAGGAGGAGATGGGGTGTGGAGGAGGAGGGGTGAGGAGGAGATGATGTGCGGAGGAGATGGGGTGTGGAGGAGATGGGGTGTGGAGGAGATGATGTGTGGAGGATATGGGGTGTGGAGGAGATGGGGTGTGACGGAAATGGGGTGAGGAGGAGGAGGGGTGAGGAGGAGATGGGGTGTGGAGGAGGAGGGGTGAGGAGGAGATGGGGTATGGAGATGGGGTGTGGAGGAGATAGGGTGAGGAGGAGATGGGGTGAGGAGGAGATGGGGTGAGGAGGAGATGGGGTGTGGAAGAGATGGGGTGAGGAGGAGATGGGGTGAGGAGGAGATGGGGTGTGGACGGACGGGGAGATGAGGGATGGGGAGGTGAGGGATGGGGAGGTGAGGGATGGGGAGGTGAGGGATGGGGAGAAGAGGGATGGAGAGGGCTACGTTGCTAAATACGAGTACCGAGTATAATACGTTAGCGTATTATACGCTTGGTATATACGCGGTACGCCAAGGGTGGCGTACTGCTGATACGCTAAAATACGCTGGCGGGCAGCTAAAACTTTTTTTCCCGGGCAGGTATAAAAAAACCTGTTTCAGGGGGGGGGTTCAGGCCGACAACAACACATGTCAATATTTTATTTCATAAATATCCAGAAATACATAGTTCATCCACATAATCCCCACCCTCTAGCGAGCTTCCCCACAGCCTATTTCCTTGCGGGGCTTTTCCACCACCACCCCTTCCCCATACTCATCCGCCAGCACCGCATCATCTCCTTCCAACTTGTCCTTTCCATTTGGCGAGGTGAACTGCGCAGCGAGTGGTTCCGCCCTCAAACTTGAAGCCACAAAACTTACAAAGCTTGGGATTGCCTTTGGTGTGGGGGGTCTAAGAAAATGTTTCAGAATGGGGTTCGAAAGGCCAGCCTCAACAGGCTGCGTGTTGATCGCACTACTAGACGCGTGACCAGAAGCTACATTGCTCGTCGCGCTAGGAGGGGTGGAGTTCGACGCCATGAGGCGCGACTAAGGAACGGTAAACTGCTTGAGGAAAACGGGAGATCAGAGCTCGGGAATGAAATTGAGGAGGAGAGAAACGAATGAAGGATAGGAAGGCGTCAACGAGTAAATGCTCACATGACGTGCTGGACATTTGAGAGGGGTGGTTGGATATGAGAGGTTTGGTGGGGTGGTGTGTGGTTGGGGTGGTGGGAGGTTTGGATTCTGAAATTTGAATTTCAGACGTGGGTTGGGCGATGTGCTTGGTCGCGTAACCAGTCGCGAAGCCCTAATAACCGTCGCAATTTTTTTTCAATTTCGATTTTTTTTTTTCGCCGGGCTGCCCGCGCGTTTTTTCACGAATTCGAAGCGTATTAGCGTACCACTTACGTACGCAATCGTATATACGTGGTACGCCACCCTACCCAGAGCGTATTTGGCAACGTAGGGAGAGGGAGGGGATGGGGAGGCGGGGATGGGGAGGTGAGGGATGGGGAGGCAAGGGATGGGGAGGTTGGGATGGGGTGAGGCGGAATGGGGATGAAGGATGGGGAGGTGCGGGATGGGGAGGAGAGGGATGGGGAGGGAAGAGATGGGGAGGCGGGGATGGGGAGTTGAGGGATGGGGAGGGAAGGGATGGGGAGGCGGGGATGGGGTGAGGTAGAATGGGGTGAGGCGGTATGGTATGGGGTGAGGCGGAATGGGGGAGGCGGTATGGGATGAGGCGGAAGGGGATGAGGCGGTATGGGGTGAGGCGGAGATGGTGGCTCTCAAGATGTCGCGGCGCCCCCGACTCAGCTTGACGATAAGCCCGTGACAGCGGTGTTGCGGGTCGCACGCCAACCCTCTTCTGCCCCGCGTCTGACCCGTCCCTGGTGGCATGGGATGGGGTGGTGTTGACAGGAGTGGCGGGGATGGTGAGACGGAGAGGGGGACAGAGGGGTTTCCGCATCATTTACAGCAACAGCAGCAGGGATGGGGAGGTGAGGGATGAGGAGGGGAGGGATGGGGAGGGGAGGGATGGGGAGGGGAGGGATGGGGAGGTGAGGGATGGGGAGGGGAGGGATGGGGAGGTGAGGGATGGCGATGCACATTGGAATTACTCCTCTGCCTTGCTGTACGCCGCATGCGCTGGATGGGGAGGTGAGGAAATGGGGAGAGGATACGAATAGGGCGGACGTGCGGAGATGATTTGGGAGAACGGGAGGCGATGGAAAGGGAGAGCGCGCGCGGCAGTGTGCGACGGGGGGGAGTCGGCCGTGTGCGGCGAGCGGGGGTGAGCGTGTGCTTTCGAAGGATTGCGCAATGGCGACGGAAAGGGAGTGAGCGTGGGCGAAGTGAAGAGTTTGAGCGTGTGCGACCGGGGTGATTGAGCGTGGGCGTCGGAAGTGATTGAGGGTGTGCGACGGAAGTGATTTCGCGTGTGCGACGGAAGTGATTGCGCGTGTGCGACGGTAGGGTTGCGCGAAGGCGATGGAAAAGAAGTGAGCGTGGGCGACGGTAAGGGAGTGAGCGTGGGCGACGGTAAGGGAGTAAGAGTCCGCGAGGGCGTACGCGTGGGCGAGGGATTGAGCGTGCACGACGAGAAAGGGAGTAAGCGTATCGCCGAGGGAAATTATCGAGCGTGGGCGACGGTAAGGGAGTTAGCGTGGGCGAGGGAAAGGTGTGAGCGAATGCGACGGTATGGGTGTAAGCGTGGCGGGAAATTACTGAGCGTGGGCGACGGTAAGGGAGTAAGCGTGGGCGAGGAGGTGCGTGGGTGGGACGGAGGGGGACCGAGTGTGGACAACGGGTAGAAGTAGCAACGCGACGAAGTAATTGGCCCTCCTCCTAGGAACGCGGACAGAGGCGATGTCGACACGGTGAGCGAAGAAGACGTGAAGCTATGGCGACGATGGGCATATGGGGATCATTGGGCACGGATAGCTTCCTCGACTGAAACCGTGACGTGGAATGGGGGAAACCTTGGGCGTCGAATTGGCCAGAATGGAGTGATGGTCCTAGAGCGTAAGGCCGACATTCACGACAAGCGCTGGGATGGGGTTGGAGCCTAGCTATTCTACTAAGTTATGGCTGTCGCACTAGCTTGGCGAACTAGGGAGTTTCTGTCGACCTGAATTACACATTTCCAGTTTGGTGTGCACACTACAGCCCAGGGTGGTTGACAAGGAACCGAGCACTCTGCGACTTTCATCATGTTGTGCAGGCGGAGACCTGGTAACCACCCTAATTCGGGAGAGGAGGTGTTAACACCTCCCACCTTTTTTTTGTAATTCAGGGCGTATTCTTGTCTTTGGGACATCCGGTGTTTGAGTCATCCCAAATCTTGGGAAGACCCGAGGTGCAATGCAGTACCTCGGGTCAACAAGCCGACCTTGTTAACGATTTTCCAAGTCAAATATCTAGCTGGCTACCTGAAATCGCAACTCTCGTCGTTGGAATTTGCGATCGCCAGAGCAAGCTGGCGAGCGATTCCGATTGTGGACGAGGCTGAAATGTGCAATGTTGCATCAACATTTGAGTGTGAATGTTGTCGCAGCCTCAGAAATGTCGCACTCCGGCTACGCGAAAAAAAATCTGGGGAGAAAGTATTTTCGTTTGCCACGTTCGCTGAAGCTCGCTAACACCCGAAGCGGAAGTCCCGAAGCTCGAATCGGAAAACCCGCGCCTCGGAAAATTAATTCGGGATGTCCCAAAGCCCGGATGTCCCAAAGCCAAGAATACGCCCTCAGGCTGCGGGTTTTAAAACCAGGGTCCCCGAAGGGCGTCATCAACTGCAAAACATTTGGCCTTCATGCTAAGCTCCGTCGATGTCGCGTGATTAATAAATCGTTTTTGCAGGGACTCACTTTGAAGAGCACACACCGCGATGCTTGTTTGTGGTAGTTTGGGATGATGTAAGCTTTTTCTCCGCCGAGGTCCCTGTCTTTCCGAAAACGCCTAGCTGTCTTTCTGGCTCTGTCTGTGCAAAAAGACGGGCGGAAAACGGGCGCAAGGCCTCGCCGAATACGACACGGCTCTCCGGGCTGAATTGTTGCGCCCACCTGACCCAAAAATCCAGCTCGGGCAGAGGCCGAACTCGAAAGGCAACACCAACTTTGGCGAGGGCCGTGGTTGGCGAACAGCTCGCGAGAAGCCAGGTTACCCTCCGGACGGCCGACGACGCCCTCGTGTCGCACGACCGGTTGCGACGGGACGGTCGTCAAGTCGTCGCAGAGCTTGTCGCACGCGAACCCTCTACAGAGTGCTTCGCGATCAAACATTTGATACATTTTAAAAATTCGTATGAATAACGCGGTGTATTCTGACACCAAAAAATGGGTCGACCAATCGGCGAACATGTTCCTCCTCTGATGCAGGAACCAATACCAGACGACCGCATCCCCTGTTAATCAAGAGCCAACCATCGACCCTGGAATTGGCGGGTGGCCATGAGATCCAGATGTGGAAACCGGGTGACCTGAGCAGTGGATTCAGGTCAAGGTGGGGCTTCAAAGCCAGTTGTCACCCTCATTCTGATTCTTTTTTTTTTCTTCTTTTTCACGTTTTTCATGATGGCCAATGCGAGATCCTCCAGGTGCTCTTGCACCCGCTTCAACTATTTTTTTCCGCTAAGTCCTCAACGCCCCACCCCTAGCACGTATCAGCTCCCACAGCAGCCCTCGTAGAAAGTCTGCAGACCGTCGTGCTCCTTGATCCGGTTTTTTGTAGACGATTAGTTTTGGCCGCCTCCCTTTTTTTTTAGGGCAGCCCGACCGTCCAATTTGTCAATTGTAGATTAGAACATACGTTCTGCAACTCGTCCCGAAATCGAGACAGGCAGCTGTAGAAGCATCTTGATAGCATTTATGCAACACGCTAGATTAGAAGGTTCCGCATGTCCTATATGATACGCTTGTCTACCAGAGAGCGATATATAGACAGCACCGTTGTTTCATCCTCTACGGTAACACTTGTCCGTGGTTGTGATCTGCAAACTAATCTAAACGGATAGATTCGTCCAGTTAGAATCAGATACTCTTCGACGACAGTCAGGTTCACAGCAACTCTACAGTGTCGCGTTAGTGTATTTCTTGACTGATCCATCCATGACGTAGTTTACGTTTGCTTAATCATCGAAACCGCTAATGCGCGACCACGTACATCTTTTGTGTTGAAGTTGACCGACCACTTAGCGTTAGTAGCGATACCCATTTAGGTAGGTTCGTTTTTGCATGCACAATGCAGTATGGCGAACCCATATGACGTTTACCTAGTTAGGCGCGGTTTTCTTTCTCCGTAGGGCACAATGTCCACAGATGGGTGTCAGAATATGTTGTTTGTGTAGCCTGCAGTGGGGTACTCTATAGTGAGTACAACCCCTTAGGGTTTGCCATTTGTATCCTGCTGCTTGCTAGTTCAATCATTCCTTCTCAATTCTGTTCCTACACACAATCCTAGCTCGTACTTGGCTCCTCGTTACTAGTCCTACTGTGGCCTAGGCTACTAAGCCTAGGCCGTACTCCTACTACTTCTGACATGGTATCAGAGGGCGGCATGTCTGCCGCCTTCCTGTGTATGGGCCCACCACCCGCTTCCGCTGCCGTACTGTCCGCCGCGCGCCTCGTGGTGCGCGGCGGCGAAACCCTAATTTCTGCCCGCCGCGCGCTCGGGGCGCCTGGCGGTTTTCCCTTCCGTGGCGCCCGTCGTGGTGCCCTTGGGGGGGCCTCCGCGGTCCCCTCCCGTCGAAGCACCCGTCGAGGCGCTCTCGGGGACCCGCGCGGCCTCCCCCCCCGTCGCCCGTCGAGGCGACCTCGGGGACCCGCGCGGCCTCCCCTCCCGTCGCCCGTCGAGGCGACCTTGGGGGCCCGCGCGGCCTCCCCACCAGTCACCCGTCGTGGCGACCACGGGGGCCGCGCGCGGTCCCCTCCCGTCGCCCGTCGAGGCGACTTCGGGGGCCGTGCGCGGCGCCCTCCCCGTCGCCCGTCGTGGCGACTTCGGGGGCCGTGCGCGGCCCTCCCCGTCGCCCGTCGAGGCGACTTCGGGGGGCCCGCGCGGCGCCCTCCCCGTCGCCCGTCGAGGTGGCTCTGGGGGCCCGTCGCGGCGCCCTCCCTGGTGCCCGTCGCGGCGCCCCGGGGGGGGCCGCGCGGCTCCCTTCTCGTCGCCCCTCGGGGCGCCCTGGGGGCCGTGCGTTTTCCCCCCCCGCGGCCGCCCCTGGAGCCGCCCGCCACTGCAGCAGCAGCCCCTGGAGCCGCCCGCACCTGCAGCAGCCGCCCCTGGAGCCGCCCGCCAGTGCAGCAGCCGCCCCTAGAGCAGCCCGCACCTGCAGCAGCCGCTCCTGGAGCAGCCCACACTTGCAGCAGCCGCCCCTGGAGCAGCCCGCACCTGCAGCAGCCGCCCCTGGAGCAGCTCGCACCTGCAGCTGCCGCCCCTGCAGAAGCCCGTCCCCCCCCCCCCCCCCCCCCCCCCCCCCCCCCCCCCCTGTGCTGCCCATTGCTCCCATTCCACCGTGCGTTCCGCGGTGGTTGGGGTGTGGGGTGGCGAGCATGGGGGTGAGAGGTGTGGGTTCTCCCCTCCTCCTTTTTCGTCTCCCACTGCTGCAGCTGCCGCTGAGGGGGGTGGAGGTGTGGGAGTCGTGGGGAGTGGCACTAGGGGGGTGATATGGGAATGGAGCTAGGGGTGAAACAGGGGGTGTGTGAGAGGGGTGTGGGACTGTTGGGGGAGGTTGAGTGGAGGCTGCTGTCTTGTCGTCCGCAGCACCTGTAGTCCGGGGCGCACTGTCCTGGTAGCTCAGAGAGCCTGCTGCACCTGTTGCCCGTGGGTCCGTTGCTCCTGCCGCTCGTCGCAGCCGCAGAGCCTGTTACTCCTGTATTCCGGGACACACTGTCTCGGTAGCCACTGAGAGCCTGCTGCACCAGTCGCCCGTGGGTCCGTTGCTTCTGCCGCTCGTCGTAGCCGCAGAGCCAGTTACTCCAGTATTCCGGGGCGCTCTGTCTCGGTAGCCACTGTGTCAGCCGCTTCTGTTGCCCGTGTGTCTGCAGCTTCAGTCGTCGCCTCCCATCTTCTCTCCTTTCATAGTCCCTCCTCCTCCTCACTTGCCCTCTGTGATAGCCTC